AGTAGTACTAGTAGTAGTAGTAGTTAGTTAGTTAGTTAGTTAGTTAGTTAGTTAGTTAGTTAGTTAGTTAGTTAGTTAGTTAGTTAGTTAGTTAGTTAGTAGTACCTTAGCAGCAGCAGCGGCAGTAGTACTAGTTGTTTTGGTAGGAGGAGCAGGGCAGGAGTATGACAAGGGGTGGGAGCAGGAGCAAGAGCAAAGGTCGGAGTAGGACTGAGAATGGTCGTCCTCGTGGTCGTCGTGGTTGGTAGCGCCAGAGGCAAATGCATGGCAGTGGTAGTGGTAGTGGTATGAGTAGTAGTAGTAGTAGTAGTAGTAGCAGTAGTAATAATAGTAGCAGTTGTCGTAGTAGTCGTAGTAGTTGTAGTAGTAGTCGTCGTCGTAGTCGTAGTAGTAGTGGTACGAGTAGTAGTACTACCTATTGGCAATACCCCTTAATTAAGGAATATACCTTAAATTATAGAGGCTTGAATATAAGGATTTAAGGTATATTCCTTATTAAGGGGTATTGGGTTCTCTGGTCATGAATCATCTTCATCATCCCTGCCAGCGCTGCCGATGATCGGATCTGCCAATCCCGCAACAGGCCACCGACCACTCCCCGCACGTCACCCAACCATATACCGAAATTGCAGGAAACACATGTCTAAAAACACCTCCTCTTCGAGGTGCTGTGCCCATGAATAGGTGTTCATGCGTACCTCCAAACTCTAAACCACAGATGACCACAGGTTCAGATCTTTGTCCCCTGAATATATATATATATATATGTCTGTGTATATATATATGTGTGTGTGTTCATTGTATATCTATACATATATATATATATACATACAGAAATATCTTGTCTATCGACCTGTGTATCTCTATATATATATATAAGATCTATCTATCTATCTATCTATCTAACTATCTATCTATCTATCTATCTATCTACCTATCTATCTATCTATCTATCTATCTATATATGTACATGTACAGGAATGTATGCATGCAAGAAAATGCATGCATGCAAGCATGCGCGCAAACATGCATGTCTGCAGACACGCACGTATGCATGCATGTCTGTTTGCATGTGCGTATGCTTGCATGTAACTGTATGTGTGTGTGGGCACATGCAAAAGTGTAAATATGTGTATACACTGTGTACATATATATATATATATGTATATATATATATATGTATATATATCTATATATGTATATATATATATATATGCAAAAGTACGCGTAGGGGCAACGGTGTATGCATTCATGTATGTGCATGTTTATGTGTGCGCACCCGTATTTGTAAAGTATATAAACTTATGTCTGGAATCATATTACATACATGCATGCATACATATATACATACATACATACATACATACATACATACATACATACATACATAAATATATACATACATACATACATACATACATATATACATACATACATACATACATACATACATACATACATACATGCATACATACATACATACATACATACATACATATAGTATACATGTGTAGGTATATATGTATATGACTGATCTTCGAACTGAAACTGACTTCCTTGACCCTGGCAGGAAAGATGACACAGACGTCACAACAACTTCATAAATGACAAAACACCGTACGAAGTCTTGTTAAACCGTTCAAGACATTGTCAAACCTTCAACAATGAGACCAGCACTTTTAAAAAAACCGTGGAAGCAAGAGAACCTAGAGCTTCAGCCAGCTGGCGGCATCCAAGTCATCCGGCAGCGTCACTTCGGTGTGGTTTCCATTCTTTGCGACCTTTAAACACGAATGAAAGAAGGTCGTAGGGTTAAGGGTTTAGGGTTTAGGGTTTAGGGTTTGCGATTTGGGTTTTGGATTTAGGGGTTAAGGTCGGATGTGGGTATGCTTCAAGTGTAGTGGCTCAGGCTTGGTCTCTGTGTGTGTGTGTGTGCGAAATGTACTTTGAAGGGCCTTGGGAAGTTCATGAGCTTTCAGCTGCTGCAAGTTAGGAGACTTGAATATTGGGCTGGGTTTAGGGCTTAGGGTTTAGGGGTTTAGGGGTGGGTATGCTGTCTACGTTTGTCCAAGTTACTTGCGAGAAAATATGCTAGGAGAGCGAAGGCGCTTCTGGAAGTTGCGGTTTGGGCTTCATGAACCCTAGGTTTAGGGCTTAGGGTTTAGGGTTTAACCCTAGGCACAAAACCCTACAGCGAAAAGTCAACCCGGGCAACCCCAAATACTAAAACCTTAAACCCCCGAATCCAGCCAAACCCTAAACCCTAAACCCTCAACCCCTAAACCCCAACTACCAAGATAAGAAGTGCCCTCAAGAAGGGTCCAAGTTGTCATTTCGATTGGCCCCGAAGTTCCCCGATACGGTGCATATACTGCTAGAAGTGCACTATAAAGCAAGAGTGCGTACAAGTACCAGATATAGTCTGCATTATAAGGATCCGCAATAGGATAGTTTTCCGGCACTAGATTTACTGTATACAAGGACTATATATAAGGGAATACTCTTGCTAATTGTGCCAACATCTACGCACATTCCCCCAGAACAATACCGTACCTGAGGGATTTATATAGGAAGAAATCGAGGGGATGGACCTTCGAATTTAGGATGTCTAGGGAGTGTTTGTTAAGCTTGTGGCTTAAGGTTTAGTGCTGAGGGTGTAGGGTTAAGGGGCTTCGGCTTTGCTGTTGAGAGTTTGGGTTTAGGGTTTAGGGTTTAGGGTTTAGGGTTTTAGGGTTTAGGGTTTAGGGCGGAGTGAGAAGATCCTGCCATCTAGAATCTAGGATCTATATCAGGGTGCCACAGTTTTCCAGACTTGCAACTCCGGGTGTTGGCGCAGGTCCCGGCTTTCGTGCTCAAAAGCTAAACGATCCCACCACCATGAACCCCCCGCCCACTGAGTGGTCAGTACCAGTAAGCCTTAGCAATATAGGAGGCTGGTGAAGAAATCTTGGGTCCTTATTCGGCTTCTTGATATGGATCCTAACATTTGGGGTTACCCCAATGTAGTCCCCTAAATAGTAGGATCCCTAAACCCTAAAATAAAACCTAAACCCTGAACCCTAAACCCAGAGTTTCTTGATCAGGTTTCTACATTTTAGCGCTGTCGACCAATTCCATGAAACTTTCCAAAGGAGTGCCTTGCCACTCGGCGCAATCACCGTAGTGTGGGGCAGCCCCGAAACGCCGTAGCTTTGCGGCGCATCCTAAGGGTTCAGGATAGAATTTTAAGACCCACCATGAACATGTCATGATCCCAACTTCACACACTGTAGCTAGACCGTGAGCCCAGAACATGGACAAGTCCACCAAACCATACATACAAACATGTGTATGTATATATGTATATATATATATGTATACATATATATATATATATGTATACAGATCTGCGTGTCTTGAGTCGTTGTGTCGTGAGAGATTTATGTAACCTGAGTAGCCACATGACGACAATTAGATGTCCTTCGTTATAAAGCATCGTAAATGCCCTAGGTAGGGCGAGCTGGTTGGGATATGTATTTTGAAGAAGTCTGCTGGTCTTTGATACCCCACAGGACACTCTCAATCGTGGAACGTAGCAGAGCCCTTAATTGACCCAACCCCAAACCACTCACTCCATGTGATACTCTCTAAGCCCTACACCCTATAAAACCCTCATCAAGGTTGCACCCAAACTCAGACTTGGCATGTCCTCGTCCACGACAGCCGTGATGATGCATCGCTGGATGCCGTGGGTCGATGCAAAGTCGCGGGCCTCCCAGAAAAACAACAACAAGCAATATAGGGGCTTTAAATAATCAGAAGTGAGTTTCGGGGCTTATCATTCTAATTATAACGAGGAACTCCAGATCAGTACTGCTAATCAGCTTGTTCCCTTTATGAATGCGAATGTTGTTCTAAATTAAGTAGCCATGCCTTGGCGCTAGGAGTCCTTGCGCCCACCCTTGCGCGGTCTTGCGCGCGCAGGGGCTTGCACACACTCGCCCTAATTTCCTACTCTACCCCTAAGCGTCCAAGTGCCCAATAATCATATACTCTCCCAAATACTAACCTAGAGAACTACTATCCGCAACCAAAGTACCTTATAATTGGGTCCTTTGGACCCTTAAGGCACTCTTCCCACAAGAGGCGGTGGTTTAGAACGGCATCCAATTACCTGTAGGGAAGGTTGGGTTAGGATTTAGGGTTAAGGGGATATGTCTGTCACTTGCTCTCTCTCTCTCTCTCTGCCCCGGAGGTGGCGATCACATGAACCTTCGGCCAAACAGCTCCGCCGGCGAAGTTTTCGTCAATTAGTGTTAAACTCGTTTGGTGTTCTGACCAAACAAACGCCGAAACGGTGACACATCGGGCCTGCAAGTACAGGTCTGTGGTTTAGAGTCTTAGAGGTTTGGGCCTAGGCATTGACAAATGGGGTATAGGGTTTATAGAGTCTGAGACTATGTGTCATTGAGGTTTGTCATTTAACGTTTCTGTTGGCAGGCCTTTCCGCATCACGGCGCGGACCAGCAACCTTCTTGCCACATCACTGACCCAGCCCTCCTCCTTCGAATCACAAACGAACTTACTCTAGGGGCCTGAATAATTAGAATAGGGTTTGGGGGTAAAATATACCAATAACCCAATATTTATAACTAACACCTACTAACACCCCAACACCCTAGTCTTATTACTAAGGCCCCTACATTAGTCGTAAACATGCGGCTGTTTCCACTGACAAAAGCCAAAGCCATGGACTGAGAAGCCAAAACCCTGCAAATCACACAAAGGTAGCCCGAAACTCTACAAGCCCTAAACTTTAGGGTTTAGGGTTTAGGGTTTAGGGTTTAGGGTTTAGGGTTTAGGGTCTAAACCCTCTCTCATGAACAGGAGCCTGAGCCCAAAACCCAAAACCTTAAGCCTAATAATTATCAAGCCACCCTTTGCCAATCACAATTCACCAGCAGCCGGTGCCGAAACCTGAAACCTTGATGCAATGGAACCCTAAGCAGGGCTTCTTGCGGATTTGGGTTTAGGGTTTAGGGTTTAGGGTGGGGTCTTGAACCTTGGATGTACTGTTGCCCTGGCAGCCTCAAACCTAAACCCTTACTAGCCTAAACCCTCGAATTAAAGGTTACAGCCCTGGAAGCAATGATAGGACGATCGTGCTCGGTCTGCCGGATTGTCAGTTGAGGGTGTTGGGGTTTGGAGTTTAAGGTATTAGGGATTAAGAGTTTTCGGGCGGTGCTCCAGGATTTGGCCCAAATCCTGGAGCACCGCCCGAATTGGGAGTTCTTTCCGGGACTGGGCCCTAAATGCCACAAAGCCTGAGCAATAAACGTAAGAAGCCCCTCAAACCCCAAGCCTGACACCCTAAACTCTCCCTGAACCCTCAAACCTAAAACCCTAAAACCCCGAAACCCCTCAACCCTACATTAGACCCAAGATATTCAACCCCCAGCTCCTAACTCTAAACCCTCATCCGGGAGGAGTCCAGATCCTGAACCCTCAACCCCAAACCGGAAACTCTGAACCCTGCACCCCAAACTCCTATAAACCCTAAACCCTAAACTCTGAACCCTAAACCCTAAAAGCCCTAAACCCTAAACCCTGAACCCCTAAACCCTGAAAGCCCCAAACCCTCAGGCCCGAACGAGCGGCCTCCTCGATGGAGCCGTCGACGCAGACCAGTACAAATTGGCACCGGCCGCTGTGCTTTTCGGCTAACCTCGGACCAGGGCATATAGCAAAATATCTGCAGATCTTCCCTAGAGGGTTTAGGGTTTACAGGGTTTACAGTGTTTAGAGGGTTTATAGGGTTTACAGGGTTTAGAGGGTTTAGGGTTTAGGGGATTTACAGGCTTAGGGTTTATAGGGTTTAGGGTTCAAAAACGGGTGTATAAGTTATAGTGCAGGTCTCGGGTAACCCTGAACCCCCTAAACCCTAAACCCTGAACCCCCAGGTAGTTAAAGTCTCAGTCCAGAGCGACCCTCGACTACATCCTTTACCTTGACCAGCGGTACACCACCTCCAAGGGTTTAGGGTTTAGGGTTTAGGGTTTAGAGCTCAGGAAATTATTCAACTAGGGCTTACAAAGCTCGGCGGTGGTAGGGTTTAGGGTTTAGTGTTTAGGTGTCAAGTCGTCTGTTTATGGAACACTCCAACCAACTACAAGTACCTGCAACGGAAGCTCGCAGAACGTAAACAACAATAGATTCCCAGCACCTCCTAGCATTTCTGCAGTAGATACTTCGCAGCTAATCTGTGATGGATGTACATGTAAGGCCCTGGGCGGAAGGTCCAGAAGGCATCATGGAGCCTTAAAACCAGCCAAATCCTAAACCCTAAACCCTGGTGCATACCTTCTCGGCCTTGACGGTTTAGGGTTTAGGGTTTACCCTAAACCCTAAACCCTAAACCCCAAGCCAAAGCCGGTCTCTCTGCCACCAAAGAACTCATCCATTTTCTGCGCCGCCTTGGGGCAGGCCTGGCTTTTGAGGGTTGAGGGATTACTGGGTTCTTGTTACGGGATTGAATTTAAGGTACTATAGCAAGGAAACCATATGATTTACTGTAGATCCATCTTATGGTACCTTACATTAAGCTCCTTAACAGGAGGCCAGATTAGGGTTTCGGCTTCTGCTTCGGGGGCAACGGCATCAACCCGTGCTTCGGTGCTGTCGTGGCTGTTCCAAAAAACACGAGACCCCTGCGTTTAGGGTTTAGGGGCTTAGGGTTTACGGTTTAGGGGTTTAGGGTTTAGGGTTTAGGGGTTAGGGGTTCCGATTTCTGTACCTGGATGAGCTTCCCCCAACCCTCCAGGCACCTACTTTCTAGGGCCCTATAGGAGCTCTTGTACCCCATATAGTAGCTACCTGGGGTGGTTAGGTTTCCTTAAGGCTGTTATGACCCCACACCTCAGAATCCTTACTCTGATACACCCTCAAGTCTAAATCCCAAGTCCCACAGCTACAGTCCTGCAGCCTTATGCTTGTAAGATTGCCCTGTATATGGCTGGTTCTCTAAGTTAGGGCCTTTGTAGGTCCCCAATATGTACGGCACCTTTTTAAAAGGACCCTAAAAGGGACCTTAGTTTAGAGAACCGCCCATATAGTCAGTATAACTATTTTTACACTATGCCAGCCCGTGAACACGAACATAAGCTTAAGCACCGGACGGAAACTTCATAAGAACCCTTTCATCATGGGATCTTTGGGTGACCCCCTTCGCCCCTGACCCCGTTGCTCTAAGATATCTCTATATCGCTCTAAATCGCTCTATATCGCTCTAAATCACTCTAAATCGCTCTATATCGCTCTAAAGCTCTCTAAATCACTCTAAAGCATTCGAACCCACTCCCGAGCAGTTCGAGAAAAACTCGCACCGCCGAATCGTGTTCCAGCTTGGCATTTCTTAGTGCGAAGCCGGGGAACGTGTAAGATTAACATGGATCCGCGCCCCGGTTGGCATGTGTGGGGTCAGATAACAGATCATCACATAACCCAAGAACACACACACACACACACCACGGACTAATTAGTGCGGTTTGCTTCTTAGCCTTGCCCAGTGTGAGCGCTGAGCACAGTCACAGGGCAGATCGACATACAGTACGGCACCCTCGTTCATAATTAAGTCTTGTCAGCTGCATACGGTGAGCACCGCACGCTGGTTCCCTATTTAGACTAAGATACCGGCATTTAGGGTTGGAGCCACTTCAGGAGTAATTGCAACATGACCGGCTCAGACGGTTCAGAGCTTCGTGTAAGTCTGTAGTTACTGGCTCTTTGCAGGGTCATACAGGGGAGGGCCCAGAGCGATTTAGAGCGGTTTAGAGAGGTTTAGAGAAACGGGGTCACA